CTCATCTTGTTTATATTTTTAACTAACCTCGACGGAAAAGGTGGTGGAACGTAGTAGGGAGATGGCGTTGGATCGTTCATTTGTTCTTCGTCATTCTTCTTCTGGGATCCTGAATCATCAGTCTTTTTTTCTTTTTGGATTGCTTCGTCTGATGGAACTGGTGACGTCACTACTGTACCACTCCAAAGAGTGATGGCACTGACATTCTCCCTCGGGTTTACCTCAGTTTGAGATGGAAGCTTACCTTGTGATTCCAAGCGGCCTATGGTTTGAGCCAGGCTCATTTGCTTGTCTATTTCTTGTAGGTGGGCTTCGATACGAATCTGGAATTTTTCTTAAGAAAGTGTTAACCTCTCGACAATCGACTCTAATGATGTCTTTTGCGGCTGTTGTGGTGGTGGAGATGGTCTCGCTTGATAACCTTGATTCAGTCTTGAGTTTTTGAGCATAACTGAAATTAGATGATCCCTCCAATCCTGGATTGTAAGTATTGTCGTAGGGATTATTAACTCTTTGGGGAGGTCCTGGAAAGTTCCTGAATGCATTGACTTGAGATGTTGTGTCATCTTGGATCAGTGGACAATCATTTGTTAGATGACCAGGTAATGCACATATTCCACATAATCTGTTTGGCCATGTCTTTCTTGCAACAAGAGAATTGACGACTTCAGTTAATCTATCTATTTTATTTTCTAAGGAAGATGAACTTATCTCATGAACCCTTTGAGGAGGTTCATTATTTGTGCAGAACTGTTGGGAATTTGCTGCCATTGTGGAAATTAAGTCCCTAGCCTCAGTAGGAGTCATATTCACAAAGGCTCCGCCGCTGGCAGCATTGATCATCTTCATTTCCAAGGGAATCAATCCTTCATAAAAGTATTGAAGGAGTGTTTCTTCAGTTAACCCATGTTGTGGGCAACTAGAACATAACTTTTTAAACCGCTCCCAGTAGTCATAGAGTCACTCTCCATCGAGCTGCTTGATTCCAAGTATTCTCCTTCGTAGTTCACTTGCTTTCGCCGCAGGGAAAAACCTGTCATGAAAAAGATTAGTCATTTGAGCCCATGTAGTAATAGAATTAGGGGGAAGATAAAATAACCACTCCTTAGCCGAATTAGCTAAGGAAAAAGGAAAAGCTCTAAGTTTGATTTGTCCTCGGTTACTTCATGTGGTCTCATGCTGGAGTAGACCATGTGAAATTCCTAGAGATGTTTCTGTGGATTCTCATTTGGCAATCCGCGAAATATAAAGAAGAGATGAATAAGGTCAGTTTTCAACTGGTATGGAGTTTCGCATTGGGGAAAATCAATGCACAAAGGCTCTTGTTCAGTGGGTGCCGCGGCTAACTCCTGGATAATAGGATCGGACATCGGAATTGTATTAACGGATTCACCTGAATTTGATTCTTCTTCTGGATTTGATTGTTGTCTCCTTCTTTCCCGAAGCGTCTGTGCGTGAAGTCTCCTAGCTCTGGCTTTGATTTCTGGGTCGTACTCCACTAATGTGCCCGAATTAGTCCTGGTCATAAATCAAAAGCAAAAAAAAATAGTAACTTTGGCGAAGTCCCCGGCAACAGCATCAATTTGACAAGTGTCGTTTTCTATGTCAAAATAAATTCCTCATTCTCGATTGATAAATAAAGAAAATACGTGGTAAAGAGAAATAAGGGTTGATTCCGCAGGGAATTGAAAAATTATAAATTTATGTTCGGTTTGTTTAAGCCATGCGTGAATGTAGTGAAAGGGGGTTTTGGTAAAAAGATTTTAAAATATTAAATAAGGCGATTTGAAGTAAAGTAAATAAAGAAATGATTTTAAAGTCAAAAAATAGATATGGTAAAAACAGCCTCAAGCTTCGCTTTGACTCAATTTCCTTTAGATCATTGAATTAGATTTTACATTCAGGATTCACGTCAGTTACTTTTTCTACAAGGGCAATCCTCGTTACTCTATTTTGTATATCGAATACCCAAGGCAATCTTTGAATCCAGCTTCGAAAATTGATTCTATCAACATCAATTGTTGTAGATCAATTACCGTTTAAGTTTGTGGCGACCGACTCGGATTATTGCTTCTATAATCGTCAATTCCGATCTCAAATCCCTCTTGGCGAAGCTATCTTGCCAAGTGTATTCCCAGGAAGTCGAATGTGCTTTCTATAAGTCGAATCTTCCTCCCACACGTTTAATCGCAACAACAATCTAGACCAAAGTCTATCTTTGATTTTGAAAACCGTTTTGATTTTGAAAAATAAGAGCAGAGATTGAGAGAGATATTCCGAAGATATTAAGGGCCTATTTCAATTCTCCCATTGGAATTAAGTCATCGCTTCAGCTCTCGGCTTATGAAAAATTTAACTAAGTATGACAAAAGTCATACTTAACATATTAAAAACAAAGCTTGAAAATAAAAGAAAAAAGAAAACTTGAAAAGTAAAAAAGAAAACTTTAATAAAACTAGACAAAAAAGAAGATTGTAAGTTGAGTGATGAGTTTAGGCTTACCCCAAAAGGGTATTTATAGCCTCTCAAAACCTAAAGATAAACAAAGAAAATAAAATAATCTTAAAGATAATTATTTTTTTCTAAATTCAAACTTTAAACTAGTCTCCTAATGCAACTATGCTCGTCCATCTTCCAGAAGGCGTGCTGAGGAGATCTTCTAGAAACCGCCGCTGACTGGACCTTCTAGAAACTACCATGTCAGACCGCGTTGTGCCCATGTCTTCAGCCGTGACCAAATAATAAAAAAATATAGAATGAGCCCGTTTTGTCACTAATTTTAGAAAGTAGAGACCTGCACGAAAATAGGAATAATACAACCAAATCGACAGCAATAAATCCATAAAATCATAGAAATAACGAGCAAATATTCAACACTCATCAATGTCACCCCCACCAGATCACGAATTATCCTTGTAGACAACCTGGAATTTGCAGTTGATCGGTCCTACTTATTTTTCCTAGGTAATTATAGACAACTTCCCCCACCTTTTTACCCATCCCTACCCGTATAAATGAACCCACTTGTATCACAACAAAGCACAACCAATATTACACTCCCTTTGATTTTTTTGAGCTTTATCTTTTGTTCCTATAGATCAAAGAAGATGAAGCTTGTCCTTGTTACATTCCTGCTTGTTTCTCTTATTCTCAGCCCCTCTCTCTTTGAGGTGTCAATGGCAGGTTATGCATGGAAAAGCAAGCCAAAAATTCAGTCTTTAGAATGTAGATTTATCTGTGAAGCTAATGGTTGAGTTAGTGGTTTGATCAATGGCAGGTTCCTGCAGCTCCAAGTGCAAGACGAGGTGCTCCAAGGCAGGGGTTAAAGCAAGATGCTTGAAATACTGTGGGATTTGCTGTAAGAAATGCAAATGTGTTCCATCAGGCACATATGGGAACAAGCATGAATGCCCTTGTTACAGGGACTTGAAGAACTCCAAGGGCAAGCCCAAGTGCCCTTAGATTAGATGCCCCCCCCCCCCACAAAAAAAAACTTTCTAGGGACCCTAAAACATCCTGAGCCATTGAAGAGGACCATCAAAGGTTTCTATCATAAAGCTAAATAATAATTAAGGTTTATTTATCTGAAAATATAAGGGTCCGTTCCGTGGTCTATGAATATGTTGTCTCGTTTGCTTTCATTTTCCTTGTTAAACATTGTTTATTTCAATTTTAGTTTTATTTTTATGAAAACAATAGTATATAACTATTTTATTTACATCCGAGGACCTTTTTTTAATTGAAGAAAGAATATGGTTTGAACCCTAGATAAAAATTGCTAATACTACTTAACCACTATTAATCAAATAGACTAATATTTTGATCACGTTCAACATTGTTTTAGATTTTAGATGTACCTTATTTGAATATAAGAAGAAATATTAAATAGGTATATGGGTTTGGTAAGTGTGTGTAACTATTTTTTTTGTTACATTTAAATTCATATAAATACATCATTTGAATATATGGAATAAAAATATTCGTTCATAAGAAAAGATTACGTATATACAACTAGGCCGGTAAATGAACTGAACATTCAGCGAACCGTTCATGAACCGTGCGGCATGAAGTTTGTTTATGTTCGTTTATTTATTAAATGAGCGAACATGAACAAGATTTTGCGTTCGTTTAATTAAATGAACAAACATGAACAAAGGGCTCGTTCGTTCATTTACGTTCGTGAACGTTCGATTATATGTTCATTTATGTTCGTTCATTTATGTTCGAACAGAGGGCAAGTTGAATATGTTACGAAGATTATTGAAGTTGTTTGGATTTCAAGAAGATTGTTTTGTTGAACAAATTAACTTTAAGCTTTTATTAAGTTCATATATCTTATTTATGATTTATGTATGTTTTTGTCGTATTCGAACAAATTAACTCTAAAGTTGCAGGTTATATTAATGAATTTTAAGTTGTTATTCTTGTTGTTTACTTTTTTTTACATTCATTTGTTGTGTTCGAATAAGTTTTTTTTTGTTTGTGTTGTTCGTTTATGTTTTTTCGTTCGTGTTCGTTTATGTTCGTTTATTATTTAAATGAACGAACATGAACAATCTATATTCCTTAATGAACGAACATAAACAAAAAAAAAAGTGTTCGTTTATGTTCGTGTTCGTTTATTTATTAAATGAACGAACATGAACATACCTCCGTTCGTGTGCGGTTCGTTTATAGGCCTATATACAACAAAAGTGTGGCTTTACGATCCACATAGAATTTGAGATTGTACAAGTCAAGATAATTTGAAGTTGAGCATGTTAGTTAAAATAAATCCCAAGAGCCAAGTAAAGAAACAACGTAGAATTTCATCGGTGGAAAATATATATTAAAAAAAAGTAAGGAAACTATTCTCTCGGTAGTGACATACACACTTGAAAATTCCTGAATTCGCATTAAAAAATATGAAATTTCCACAGCGTAAAAGTCAATTGACAATGGGAATATGTGCCTACCAAGCTCCCTACTCGGAACACGCGGTTTTGAAATTGATTAACACAATCTCCAACTGCTCCGGTTGTGAAGAGTCAAATAGTTAAACAAAAAACAGGGATTACCAGTTGGAAAAAAAAGGCATGTTGGTTCCATGAATTTTACAGGTTCATGGAGGCCAAGTGTTTTAAATCGATGGCTCTTGTTTTCTTCCTGTTCATTGGGTTAGCATCGTCAGATGTTCCATATCTAAGACAAGGTTCATCTTTGTCCGTGGAGAATCCAGATGATGTTTTGGTATCCGCAAATGGCATGTTCTCTGCTGGTTTTTCCCCCGTCGGCCAAAACGCTTATTGCTTCGTCATCTGGTTCAGCAAGCCCTGCCGGGACGGCAGTCGTACCTTTGTTTGGACGGCGAACCGGGATACCCCCGTTAATGGAAAGCGGTCCAAGCTTTCCTTACTCAAAACCAACAAAATCATCCTAACTGATGCTGATGAGGATCCGACCATAATCTGGATGAGCAACAACACTGTTAAAATGAAAGACTCGTGGTCACAGTTGAAACTCCTTGATTCAGGTAACCTCGTCCTCCAAACTCGAACCAATCTTACTCTTTGGCAAAGCTTCGATTCACCAACTGATACACTTCTCCCTGGACAACCACTCACTCGACACAAACAGCTCGTATCAGCACGAAGCCGAACCGATTATTCTTCAGGCAAATACAAGTTGTTGTTTGACAATGATAATGTTCTTCGTCTCGTCTTGGATAATCCCGAGACATCCAGCATCTACTGGCCGGATTCTACGATGTTGGACTACCACCAGGGAAGAACTAGATACAATGATTCCAAAATCGCAGTGTTGGATTCTTCAGGCTATTTTTTATCTTCTGACAATACAGAGTTCAGATCAGCTGATTTCGGTTTTGGACCTTTGAGAAGATTAACGCTTGATTTTGATGGTAACCTTAGATTATACAGTCTTGAAGAACAACAAGGGGTTTGGTTTGTAACATGGCAAGCTATGTCCAACTCCTGTAGGATTCACGGGGCCTGTGGACCGAATAGTATATGTAGCTATGATCCTGGTTCGGGCCCCAAGTGTGGTTGTCCTCCAGGGTTCAAGATGAAGAACCAAAGGGATTGGAACGATGGGTGCGAACCGGAGTTTGAACTTTCATGCAACAATCATGATTTCAACTTTGTCGAACTCCGTCATGTTAATTTCTTTGGTTACCATCACGATATCCTCAGGAATTACACCTTCCAGGAGTGTGTCAAGGATTGCTTGGTTTCATGTTGTAAAGCTTTTCAATATCGATATTTTCCGGAAGATGGTAGGTATCGCTGTTATTCAAAATGGGAATTGCGTAATGGTCATCGTTACAATAGCTACGTTGGAACCCTTTACTTGAAACTCCCGAAATCATTCCCTTACGACAAACCTGTTGAAGACTTAAAGTTAAATTGCTCCAACATGCAGACAAAACAGCTTGAAACATCTTATGTTAAGAAAACTGGACACGGATCATTGAATGTTATTATTTGGTGCGCTTCTATAATAGGGTTGCTTGAGATGATCTGCGTCTCTCTAGTGTTTTTTTTCTTGTATAAAACAGGGAAAAGTCCAGACGCATTGTCGACGATGGCCACATCCCGGTACCTCGTCGCTCCAACTGGCTTCAAAAGATTCACATATGGTGAGTTGAAAAGGGCAACGAGGGGTTTTCGTGAAGAGATCGGGCGAGGAGGAGGTGGGGTGGTGTACAAGGGAGTTTTGCCCGATCAACGAATTGCAGCCATTAAACGACTTAACGCCGAAGCTCATCAAGGAGAGGATGAATTTCTTGCAGAAGTAAGCACAATCGGCAGGCTTAACCACATGAACTTGATTGAGATGTGGGGATACTGTGCAGAGGGGAAGCACAGGCTTCTGGTGTATGAATACATGGAGAATGGATCGTTAGCAGACAACCTCGTGAACAATTCACTCGATTGGAAGAAAATTTTTGAAATCGCTGTGGGCACCGCCAAAGGGTTGGCTTATTTGCATGAAGAGTGCTTAGAATGGGTCTTGCACTGTGATGTCAAGCCTCACAACATACTGTTGGATTCTGCCTATCATCCTAAAGTATCAGATTTCGGGCTATCCAAATTGCTGGCAAGGGACAGTCCCAGAGAGTCGAGCTTCTCAAAGATCAGAGGAACAAGAGGGTACATGGCGCCCGAGTGGGTTTACAATCTTCCCATCACTGCCAAAGTCGACATATACAGCTATGGGATTGTGCTATTGGAAATGATAACAGGGAAGAAACCAGGTGTGGGCGTCCCCGTTGTTGGAACCAATGGAGAGAAATGGCGGCAGAGGTTAGAAACTTGGGTCAAAGGGAAGAAAATTGGAGCTTCTGGAACAACTTGTTGGGTTGAAGAGGTATTGGACCCTGCCATAGGCGACGATTGTGACAGAAATGAATTGGACAAGGTAATAGAGGTGGCTATCAAATGTACAGAAGCTGATAGACATCACAGACCATCAATGAGCCAAGTAGTTCAAATGCTTGCGGGGGATCAAATTAATGCTCACTGCCTACCATCTTTTCAATAATCTTTCAACATATATTACATTTTCTTTTAGTTTCGATTGGTTATGTCATTCGATTGTGCTGTGGAGAATAGAAATAAACAATAGTACTGCACGTGATCATTTATCCTAAAACTACCATTTACTGCACGTGATAATTTATCCTAAAACTACCATTTTTTCCTGTTTTCTTTTTTGGTTGGAAAACTTGTCGCTTTTTTCTTCGACTCATATCGATGACAGAGCAGTGCGTCGATGTTTTTCTTTCTTTTCGGGTCTGAATTTTCAGTTGCAGTTGAATTGCCTACAAAGTACTGCTGCTCCTCTAATTTCACTGTTTGAGCTCCATTCCTCGAAGGTTCAGTTTTAGTACTAATTAAATAATATCAATTAGATTTTACAAGTAGGAGAATGTAATTTATACTAATTTTTTATTAAAAAAACCATTCAATGATGATCAGGTTTGATCAAATCAAAATTTTGAGATCCAATTTTAAGATTTAGATTATATACAAACTCGAGGTTAGAAGATTAATATATATATATATATATATTTTAACAATAACCAAGGATGTTGTTCTAATCATAATTGATTAGATTCTATGCTTAAATATATTTAAAATGAGAAGTGCCAAGTGGACTGGCGGTGCTATCAGCTTAATTATCGTGTTAGCTTTGGAATAAAATACACTTGATCACTGCCAGTGCCATGCCATGGCATAGGCACCCATAGTTCGTATATTATTGATAGTGTCTTTACCTTTATTTTTCTAATATTATCATAATTATATTTAAAATATTTTAATTATATTCAAACCATATGTGATTAAATAAGTTCTATTCTAATATTATCATAATTATATCGTACATTTTTATACAATTAACTAATTTTTATTTAAAATAAGAAATATCTCAAATTACAATAAAGATTTACAATTACAATCATAAATTAAGTACATAATTAGGATAATTTCCTATAATCTTTGAAACAAAACTAGAAACTTAAGATCCCATAAGAACCATACAATGAAAGATTAAAAATCTAATAAAAAAATCTCGGACAAAGATAGATACAAACATATTTGATCGGATCAGCAAAAACACAACAAAAAGGATTAAGCTATTGAAATATCACCGACAAAACCGCAAATCATACTCGAGCGACGCGAAAAAACTATCAACGAATGCAAATCGAATATCTAAATGAGAGTCCAAAGCAGAAATGATCTAAAAGATATCATCTTTTTCAGTACATCCATATGCTTTCCTTCCTTCTCTTGGCTCTTGTGGCTCACGCCACACCTATAACATGTCAAAATATACTTCAAAAGAGGTTAAATATACTTCAAAAGAGGTTAAACATAATCATCCTGGCCGGACAAAGCAACATGGCTGGTCGAGGAGGGGTCGCCAATGACAGCGCGACGGGGATCCCGAGATGGGACGGTGACATTCCTCCACAATGCCAACCCAACCCTTCAATGTTCAAGCTGAGTGCGAACATGACATGGGTTGAAGCCCGGGAGCCAATCCATGCAGACATCGATGCCAAGAAAACAAATGGTATTGGACCCGGAATGCCGTTCGCCAATGCTGTATTGACCAAGGACCCCAACATAGGGCTGGTGGGATCGGTGACTTGCGCCATTGGAGGGACCAGTATCAGCCGGTGGCAAAAAGGGGAGTTCTTGTATGAGCAGCTGGTGAAGAGGGCTCGACTGGCGTTGCAGAGTGGAGGAGGATATAAAGCCATGCTTTGGTACCAAGGGGAGATTGATACAATACATAAACAAGATGTTGAATTGTACGGAGGCAGATTGAAGAGGTTTTTCCATGATTGGCGTTCTGATCTGCAGGCTCCTATGCTCCCAATTTTCCAGGTATTAGTATCATGCCATTTGGTTTTCTTTTCTTCATAAATTAAAATATATATTTGCAGGAATTTTGAGCTACTTTCTTAGCAGCTTGCAAAACTTATAAAATTTGAAATAAACTCGCTGGTTGATCCCGAATCGGGATTGGCTACCTTAGCATCGGATCACGAAAAGTCATTTAAAAACTGTTTCGGACGATTAATGTAACCAATTGTATATTAATAAATTTCCACGCTGACAGATGTCGGTGGAGATTAATGTAATACAAGTTGGCAGAATTTCAGATTATGAATATATGTCTTGGACTATTGAGAGGGAAATTAATTAATAAATTTGGATTTTATTAACTTTTTTTCTTTTTATAACCAATTGTATTTTAATCCGTTATAATTTCTCTTTCCACTAGGTTTGGGCCTGTAAATGAACAACGTTCAGCGAACCGTTCATGAACCGTGCGGCGGGAAGTTAGTTTATGTTCGTTTATTTATTAAATGAACGAACATGAACAAGCTTTGCATTCGTTTAATTAAATGAACGAACACGAACAAAGAGGTCGTTCGTTCATTTACGTTTGTGAACGTTAGATTATATGTTCGTTCATTTATGTTCGAACAGAGGGCAAGTTGAATATGTTACGAAGATTATTGAAGTTGTTTGGATTTCAAGAAGATTGTTTTGTTGAACAAATTAACTTTAAGACTTTATTATGTTCATATAACTTATTTATGATTTATGTATGTTTTTGTCGTATTCGAACAAATTAACTCTAAAGTTGCAGGTTATATTAATGAATTTTAAGTTGTTATTTTTGTTGTTTACTTTTTTTTTACATTCATTTGTTGTGTTCGAATAAGTTTATTTTTTTTTGTTTGTGTTGTTCGTTTATTTTCATTTATTATGTTCGTTTATGTTCGTTCATATGTGTTCGTTTATGTTCGTTTATCATTTAAATGAACGAACATGAACAAACTATATTCCTTAATGAACGAACATAAACAAAATAAAAAATTGTTCGTTTATGTTCGTGTTCGTTTATTTATTAAATGAACGAACATAAACATAACTCCGTTCGTGTACATTCGGTTCGTTTACATGCCTAACTAGGTTGAACTTTTTTATATTAATATCTTCCTAGCATCAATCTACACTATCGGTAGATTAATAGAAAGATTTGTTCAATAATTTTTAAAATTCAGTCATTACTTTTATAAGTTTACTAATAATTAAATGATATATGATACTCCACTTGTCTAAAAAATTGCGTTTATTATTAATTTTTTAGTTATTTTTTAAATTTTGATTAATTATTATCTAAATTTTATTATCGATAAAAATATAAAAATATATTTTAAAAACTTTCGATCAAGTAGTTTTAACGATATCTTTTATAAATACAATTTATTTAAAATAATCATCGTCAAAGATTTTTTTTATAGGATAGAGTTAGTATAATTTATTTACGACATTACAATTTATTATTTCTCAAAATTCTCGTTTTTCTGAATCTACGGAGGGACCGTAGACATGGAGAAACCCGCATCGTCAATCAATCTCTTTCAGAGTACCGATTATAGCTATGAAATTCTTCGAGACTAGTTGTTTTCGGTCAAGAGGAAATCTTCATTCCACAATCTCAAAAGTTCCCCAGCTGAGCCGGTTAAAGGAGAAAAACAGTGAACAATATCAGGCCTATTCCATGAGAGATGGGAAATCCAGAGCTTCTCGGATGTTCATCCTCAACTGTCTTCTATGCACGGCGTTAAAATAATTCCTTCCCATAATTCTAACGAGAGAGGATTTCCAGATTTACCTCCTACTCTGGGGATAATCTAAGAGGGTTTTCAGAATTTTCCAAAATGCAATTTTCGTTTAACACGCCTTCCTCTAAATATTCAAGACCTTCAAAAGTGTCTGGAACAGCTTCAACTGAGCTGGAGTTTTGAGCTACTTGATTAAATGAACAAACATTCCCTTCACGAGAATCCTGTTGAGCTACCATCGTTGGGTTCTTTGTTATCCCGAATTCCTCTGGGCTATTGTGAAGATTATAATCATATTGGCCCAATACTAGAGCTAGATCGCCTTTGTTTTTATTAAATTGACCTTGTACGGGTAGGCCCCCCCTCTGACTCGAACCAAACCTAACACGACAAGAGACTTCAAAGTCATTACTCTCGGAAAGCACCCCATGCATGTATGCTACACCATCTTCACTAGAATCGAGGGAATTGGTTTCGGGGTTCAAACTTGATCCCCTAACTAAGGAATTATCTTGACGATTCAAGTCCTCCTCACCGTTACACTGAACAGTTGCTAGGAATTTTTCGGTAATTCTTTCTGACCAGAAGAGAGACTCATCTACTTTCCTATCCTCCAAATCTGGCCATGCATCAGCAAAGTTGTCTTCACTCATCATCTGAGAACCTTCATTGTAAACTTGATGATTGAAGTTTACCATAATCTTGATAACGAAAGCGACCCTTAAAGCGAACTTTGATTGAATTAGGAATGTCGAAACGGCTAACCGCTCTGATGACCATTTTGGCCACTGAAAAGTCTTCGTTGTCTCTTGTAGAATTATCCAAGAAAACAAAGGATCCCCATCTGTTACCTATAACTGCAAAAAGAACTTACATGCCAACAATGAAGAGGTACTTTCAGTAATGATACCAAAAAGAACAATAAGGGAATCCCCTCTTCATTGGTAAGCGGGGCTATATGATCAAACTAGTAAGACAAAGCTTCCTTTTTTTACTGACAACGCCTCATCTCTATCCTTCATGGTTTCAAATCTAATAATACACGTCTTGTGGTCATTTTCTGATTTAACCATAGATACTTTAATACCATCACTATGTAAAGCTTTCTGAACAAAATTCAAGTCAAATAATTTATTTATCATTCCAACTAGGGAGAAGTCGATCCATTCCGAGTTCTTAGTAGGAAGTTTTAATTCTAAAAGACCGAGGGATCGAATGACACCTCTTCTTGGGTAAGATTTGAAACCACCATTTCATCCGACTCCAGAGGCTTCTGAATCACCAGAAGAGCCTCTCTACAAGTTCTTGTATCCTTTGAATTGTATATTTTTTATAGCCTTTTTGTATTCTTGCGCTTATAACCTCCTTTCCCAGACCCTGGTTTCTCTGACGCCTGAAATATCCTATTTTTACCTCTTGAAACACTGGGATAAGCCTTCGAAACCAAAATGATTTTTCCATCTACTTTTGTGTTACTTAATCCCTTGATTCCTCTTTCCAAATTGTCCGCCTTTGCAAATCGAACGATCGCAAAAGTCGAATTTTTGTATCTAGGTTTCCTATTGTTTAACGGAATGAAAACATTAGTGACCTTCTCATGATGATTACGGAGCTCCCACAGAGCACTTCTAGATACTCGGCGGCTCAGGTTATCCACGAACATCGTCCGTTGGATATCTGCCAGACTCAATTTTTCGATATCCACTGTTGTATTTCTTTCTCTCGCGTTTTCGCTCATTGTGGAAAACGACAGCAAAGTCGCGGTTGAATGGGTTCAGAACCCTGAATAGAGCCTTCCGTTGTATGTTCCCTTAGTTAAGAGTATAGCCAATATCATTTGCTCTAACAATTAACTTTCTTGAAGGTAGAAACTATAATGTTTCAATTAAAGATAATCCCTACCCTAAACAAAATAATAATTAAATTTAAATATATTAAAAATAGAAATTTATAAATATTATAACAACAATAATATCAACTAAATTAATAGTTAATTAACAATATTTGTGCACTAATCAAACGACTTCAATAGTAAAGGAATAATTTTTATTTATTGAGGTCTATAGTTTGAATAACATGAATGTAAGAGGTTTAAGCATTCAATATCATATAGTTGATAATTATCTTTAAATAGACATTGTATTATATTTATATAGACTAATAAAGAAATTAACAATATTTGTTTAAAGGCGTTGAGAAAATGTTTGACTGGTGGTTATAGCATCAGGACAGGGAGCCCAAATAAAGATAGGGCTTGGGAATGTGAAAAGCTTGGACGCCAAGGGACTTTCTCTGGAAGCAGACGGGCTTCATCTCACCACTCCAGCACAGGTTAGACTGGAGACATGTTAGCCGACGCTTTCCTTCACTTCAACCCTAACCATTCTCCAACCACTTTTCTTCCTTCCTTTCTCATAATTGTTCATCTTTTCTCTATCATCTTTTGTTTCAGATGCTTATAGGTTCTAAATGTTACACCACTTCTTTGTATTCATACTAATGCATAGGATAAACAATAAAATGCTTATATGAACTCAGAATCTAAGATTCAGAAATTGCACCTGGAATCAATCTTCAGCTTATTAATAGTTCGCGGTAGGGACCTCACCTAAACCAAATATCTATGCTGACACAGTTATTTGGGTTTAGTTTGAAAAGAAACTCAAAATCAGTTGGATTTTCGGTGCAAAGTTTTAAATTGCTACAAAAACTTGTAAAAGTATTGAAGTACTCCACTAATATATTACTATTAAAAAGAAAACGAGTTAAAAGAGTACAAAACTGGGGGAGTTCACTTGGAAAACGGAAAGATGATTACATTATGGGAGTAGGTGAAAGAATCTGGTATGAATCTTGAATATATAATTTCACAAATTTTGAAATTGCAGGACCATCTAAAATCAGCGGTATATACCGAACATGGTTGTATCTGTTTTGTTTTTCTTTTTTATGATACCCTCTTCTGATGATTAAACTAAGGTAGCTTTTGAAAATTTGGGACAGTTTGATTGGAGGGACGTGGATTTGGTGCAAGATTCTGTCACGAGTCTTTATTAGAAAATTAGGTAAATTTAAAAGAAAAAGACCTAACCGGGTGTATTGTGGTCCAAGATTCCAGTCTATTTCTTGGAATCAAACAGCAGCAGCAGCAGCCCACATGTTTTGGTAGAAAAATTATAGAAAGACCTAAAGTAACATTTGCTTAACTTTGGCAGCACTAAGTAATATTTAGTGGTAGGTATTGACTCCTTGGACCTTGGATATTTAATTATTTATGCTGCGGCGTACTCGATATATATGGAAAATGAGGTCTTTTTCCATGATAGAAGTTGTGGAAGCCGTAAGAAAACTCATATCTCGAAACTTTACCTTATAAACTGGAGTCCTATAATTATGCATGTTGATATTCAAAATTTTAATTTATTCAATATAACCTATTACAGATAATTATATAAATTGATTTAAACTTCAAAAAATACAATTTTTTCAGAGGAGATAGATGGATGGCATGGTGTTATGTGGTCATTGTTATTGATGGGTTTGGATTACCAAATAATCAGAAACAGATGCTGCTGCTGCTTTCAAATGCTCCCTTTTTTTCCATGTACTATACATGATGTATGCCATGGTTTATGTATGGACCTCAATGTTGAACAAGAAGTTCATATTGGATTTTACTGCTTTATCAAGATACATGCATATCCCCACAAGTAGATTTAATCAAATACTTAGTCCCACTAGTTCTAAAGTAGTGTGTTTACAAACAGCACGTGTCGTGCTTTAACTAAATAAATTTAACCACCTCATGTTTCGGGGCCACTTGGTAGCTGTCGTTTTAGAGTTTGGATTCTAGTGGCAAAGTGAAATGTCACATGTTTGAATCTTTGATTTAAAAACATAATTTTTCACTGTTTTGTTTGGTGGATTCGAGCCAGCTAAGGATGGGAAATGGGATTAGCGGTCAATATGTAAAACACATACTTAAGGGGACATAGTTCGAGTATCCATACAAGATTATGCCCATTGAAGTCAGTTGGAGTTTTCTTAGTGGCTGTTTTCAATGGGGCCACTGCCGACAGAAACATGTGGTAATATGGCAACTTTTTGAAAGCAAAGATAAATATCGAAGGTTAATTTTTTCATATTTGGGTGTCCCGATTAAGTTCCCTTTCAAGATTTTAATTCCTTTGATAAGAATCTCAGCCGTCAAAGCTTGTCATGATTCAGTGAAATGAAATATCCTGATTTATTATTGGTGGAATTTCAATTACACACTAGAGATACTGACATTACCAATAAAACCACCGGAAAAGCGAAACTCTCTAAGGACGTTCACCACACGCCAACCTCCATGAACCCATCCTCGGTGGCGCAGCCCCTAAACATCCCGGTGGTGTTAAACCCACAAGCCACTTCGCCGTCTTTTGACACAGCAATGAGCCCCGCTTTGCCTTCATCTAACCTATGCTTTATCACATAATCAACTGCCTCGTGCAGATTCAACCCTTTGTATTCCATCACCGCCGATACTTCCCTCGCCAGTGTGCTACGGATGATTGCTTCGCCTTCTCCGGTGCACGACACCCCGCATAGCTCGGATGCGTAGGTTCCCGAACCGATAATTGGCGAGTCACCTATCCTTCCAATCATCTTGTTCATGAGCCCACCGGTTGAGGTGGCAGCGGCACATCGGCCCGCCTTGTCAACAACCACGCAACCTACTGTCTCCGGGGCGTAGACGCTGATTGGGAGTCCGTTCATCTGCAAAGGACTGTCCATGGCGGCGCCAGCACCACAGGTGCCAATCGTCGGGATCCGATAATCAAACTAAAGAGTAGAGAAAAGTAGAAAACGTTAGCCTTTATCCCGCTGCTGCATTAATCTCAAGGAAAGTAATCTGAATATTAAACGTATGTTTACCAGGATTGAGTTGGCCTCTTTTGCTAACTTAAGCATCCCAACATTATCTTCGGTAATGAAGTATTCATTGTCCAGCATCTCTACGCCCTGCAACAAGTCCAACCCATTAATCTAACCAGACACAAAACTTGTCTTCTGTCACTCTCAGATACACTAACACGTGGATAACGGAACCCGAGATTCCAAAGCATTTAAAAACGTGGGATCTTTACCAAACTACGAACCTGTTTCTTGGCAAACTCTTCGGCACCCGAAAAGCCCAGATACGAATGTGGTGATTTTTCCATGACAAGTCGGGCGAGGGAGACTGGATTCTTAACGGTGGTTAAGCCGGAAACAGCGCCGCAACGCCTCCTCGGGCCGTCCATAATGCTGGCCTCCATTTCCACCGTTCCATTCTCTGTAAGGGCCGACCCACGGCCGGAGTTAAACAAAGGATCGCTTTCCAATTCTCTCACCTACACCAAAACAAAACCCAAAATTTATTTCCCAGAAGAAAAGACAGCAAAAAAGTGAAATCTGAATGTTAATTTTTAAACTTATCTCCATCGTTAAATATATTAACTGTTAAGGGGGGTAAAAGAAAAGGGGAACATACGACGAGTTCAACGACGTCAATGGCGGGTAGGTTAGAGCGGAGAGCAGAGATGCCAATATCAAGGCAACGTTTGAGGAGCCTTTTAGCCTCCTCTTGTCTTTCTTTTGGGAGATTTGGGTCTACACCAGCGCCACCGTGCACTGCAATTGCCCAGCCTCCCATTCTTTTTCAGCACTGCCTTTTTTCAGCCTCTCTTTTCCTATGCTCTTTCTTTGCTATGTGAAAAACATTAACCTTTAGAGCCCCTTTTATAGACGCTCGCGGACTTGAAAATCCCTTTTAACTTGATTTAATCTAGGTTTTTCTTTAATACGGGTAGAATCAGGCTATCTCTCTGTTCTTTAATCTCAACCACTCTCTCTCTTAACTCCCACTTGTTTTCACTCCCAAGGATGGCAGTCAGTCTTTGCCCGTGACAAAGTATTAAGGAAAAAAGCACCAGAAATTAGACTAATTTATTTCTTAAATTTTACTTAAAAACTGCATCAAATATGTTTTTAATCGAATAATTTACTATAATGTTGCAACTATACTAAAACTCACAGGTAGGGGCATTAAATATTTTTTTAATCATATATTAAAATATATTAACATGTTTTTATTAAAGGACAACCTTAATAATAATAATAAAAACCTTAAAAACAGCTTAACACGCCTACTCCCGATAAATATGGTAATTGAGGAGATATTGTATTATAATATTATCCAAAGTTGGGTTTTGGGTTTTCTGAATTGATTCTTTTGCACAGTTAGGAAGTCGAATAAACTATTGTCTCGAGTTCCTAACTATTCTTGGCCTCTTTTAACAATTAATTACTATTCTAGCCAAATAAAACAAGGAGAAATAAATATTTTAGAGCCACTCCAATGTGCAAGGACCAAGGGTGATTCATTTATTAGGAAAGAGTAATTAATGTTTTTTCCTCATGTGGGTTTTGCAGATCCTCGAGGTTGGAACAAAAAATCATATGACAGAGAATACATTGTTTTCAGTAACCATATAAATATTGCAACATAAATTCAGAAATTAATATATCTACCAGATAAGATACTTGACATGCTTAAGCCAGTTTTTTTTTTCTCACTTAATTGAATAAAGTTGACTGCTTTATTACGAATGAATATAATAAAAAAGGGCTGTGGAATGGGCGGCGCAGGACATGCAGTTTGGTGTTTAAAAACAGTGGCCAACAACAAAGCAGAAAAACAAATAGGAAAAAGGCACGGATGGATGGACCCATGGCCATAGATTAGGGTTGAAATGGCATTTAAATTGAAAGCCGACCTACTGGCTGGGCTACTAGTTTCATGGAGCACCTGGCTGGTTATAGGCGGCGGGCAACCCCCATTATAATAATGTAAATGGCTGCTGGTGCGTGTTCTCCACTCCCCTCCTCCAACGCTCCATATTCCATTTTCATGTGTTTACTATTCATGTCCATACATAAATACAAAATATAATATATTAATAATATATCTTTAAATATTTTTGATATAATTAACACATCTCCGAATAAATATTTTTTAGATAAGCAAATATCACAAGTGAAAGTATTCATGGGATTTGAACTCAAACCATACTTAAAAGGAGGAGAAACGATGATAGGATTTATGTCTGATTTTTGCGTAAATTGCGAGTGTGATTCATCTATTTGTTTTGCTAGTTTATATAAAAATTAATCTCTTCAATTAAATAAAATTATACAGATATAAAAAAATTATCATCAAATATCTATATTATTATATTTTAAAGATCTTAATCATAATTGAGTTTCACGTGTGATTGTTAATGATTTGATTATTGACTATGTTTCTAGACTATAGATAGGGATGGACTAAAGGAGGCTCACAAAGACAATTATCCTTTTAAAAAAAATTAAATTTTTATATTAATTAGGTTATAAGATTGATAAATGTTCAGAATATTAGGTTATAACATTAATATATGGTTATAATATTTCTTAATAATTTACAACACACGGGTGTCTTGTAGAGATTAGAGATACATGCTCAAACTCATGATCTCAAAAATCAATAATACTTACTTTAATCACCGAAATCTTTTGATAAATTTGTTGAACTTATATTATGTGTGTTAAAAGTGTTATTTATTCATCATGTTTTAGTAAATGAGTTATCAATAAACTAATTTATTTTGATAATTTTGAACCATTCACACGAAGAGGATTGTGTTAATTTTTTATCAAATAATAGTATTTATTTAAATATATATTATTTTTATTCGAATTTTACTCATATTTTTAATATTAAATTTAGTTTTATATAATTGTTTCTTTATGTTATAATAAATTGTTTAAGACTTCATGTAAGATTAATTTTCTCCCTATGTTTTGTATCTATGTAACTAACTTATCATAAATGCTGATCACATGTTCATTTCAACTTGCTTTAAATAACTACCATATTTATTTATACTTTTATTTTTTTTTGTTTTTATAAAGATAAGTGATTATAAATTAATTTCTATTCAAAATACCCCCAACCATTTGACAATGAAGACTCAATCAATCATGCTGCAGTTGCTAATGCTCAAGCTCAAGACCTATAGAAATAACAATCATTCCTTTAGTCACTAAGGTAATTTGATTTATACATATTTTATAATTCTTATATTATTAAGATTGTCATATAATAAACTTTGATTTAATAGTTTAAAAAAAATTCAATGTGTTAATTAATAGTTTTAATAAAAAAAAGTATAGAAGTTTGTAATACAGTTTAAAAAATATTCTTATAATTATAGTTATTGCATATCTTAAATTCCTAATAAATCGTATAAAATAAAATAAACTCCATTTTCAATTTACAATTATCATATTTGGAAAAAGTACAATTATCATAATGACAGCGAGAAACATAATTCCATTGAAAAACGATTCCAAAACTATAATTTATATACTATTTAAAAATATATACTGAATTATATATATATATCACGAAGAGAAGGGGACGGCACGTCCGTACACGATAAAGTTCAGTGAACACTTATTTTTTTTTTGAATAATATGGAATAAGTATCAGTGAACGCGTTATTAATGTCTTTCTTTATAATTGTATACTTCAAAAAGACCTATTAAATGTGATTAATGTCCATTTATTTAAGGTATACTATTCCAAAATTAATATAAATACATTCATTCAAAGCTTTAAAATATCTTCATATCTTAAAAAAAATATTAGATTTTATTACGTTTATGCTGCAGATAAATAAAAATATTTTATGTAATATATACTATATATTTTTCAAAAAGTATTTAAATATTTTTCGAGTACACCCACAAACTAAAATCAAATTTAATGGAGTAATTGTTGTGGGGGTTAACTGGAAAAGCAGACAGTTTATTGGATTTTTATTGTCATCTTTTAGAGATATGATACAACCCTTAAAAACAATAATATCACTCGGGCATCTTCATAATAATATAATAATAATAATAATAATAACAATAATAATAATAATAATAATCTCATTTGAGTAAGTATGAAAATAAATAAATAATAATATCACTTGGGTATTATTAAAAAAATGTAAAACAATATCACTTAGGCCGTAAAATTAGGCCAATAATCCAAGTGGATTAATTATAATTCAATAGATCATCCAAATATTATTTCGAGAAATATGACATTTGTTACTATGCAAGACGAACCCGTCATGCCTACATGACGATTTTGTCAAGATATTATTTTTAATAGATCCATGTCTGTGGGTCCTATGGGCCTAATATTTGTTATATCTTTTGGAATTCGTCATATTTATATAATTTTAAAAAGTAAATAAAAATACTTTACTTTTAAAATTATAAATCGTAATCGAATCAATCAAAATAATTTTAAAAAGTAAATAAAAATAATTTACTTTTAAATTTTTTAAATAAAATATCTAATTAATTGGTTGATATAATTTCTTTTAGAATATAGTATTCAATAACATTCGTATCGACCATGAAAATCGCATTTCCAATAACATTCTTGAGTCGCCATTTAAAGAGTGTTGCTGAGAAACAAGAAGGGTAGACCCGTTAGTTATATGATCTATATCTAATAATTCATGTACTTATAAAGATTCATACCCTCTTTACAACATTCTATGAAATTATATAATGTCTGCTTACTGTTGGCTTATTTCAGTTAAACTTTTTTTTTATTAATTTTAACTCATTATAGTTTAAAATTTACTATAAAAATATAAAAATATATTTTAGAAACCTCAAATCAAATAGGTTTTAAATAAATATATATATATTTATAAATGTTAATTATTTAAAACAATCATGATAAAAATTAAAAAAAATAACTTTTTAAAAATTAATAATGTATAATTTAATGGGACAGATGGAGTAGACATTTTAACATATTAAATAAATTAAAATCATAATTAAATCTAAAAAATCATAATTAGACACAAAAAATTCTGTCACACGTACAATATAATACGAGATTAAAAAATAGTTTATAAGAAAAATAATTTTATAAAAGTTTTCAACAATGATTATTAATGCAATATTTATATTATATAAATTTATCAATTATATGTTAGATTTCTAATAATTATTTTTAATTATTATAAAATATAATAATAATTATCATTTAGAAAGTGATACACCAATAACTAATTAATCTGGTAGGATGAAATACTAGATCTCTTAAACAATGTCTGGATTTGAATCCCGAAATTTACGAATGGAACAAATTGAGTTGGAATGATCGTCTTAGCCTATACAATATCTAATTCAGATTAAAAAGTTAACAAATCAGATATTGATAACTATTTAAAAAAATAAAAAGTGATATATTATTATTTTTAACTAAATTAATATCATATATTACTTAATAAAAGATTTGAATAGCTCTCTATATTATTAGAATCGCATTTTCTATTTGAAATCCAAAATGTTGCTTAACATCTATTTATCTATAATTGATAGACGAGGATTGCAACATTACTCTTGGTTTTGGTTGTTGTTGATGTTTTTTTTTTTTTTTATCTTATTATATAACAAATTCGATTTTCTTTTTTTTTAATTTATAATAATTTTTTCTTTATGACATATTTTTATATTATCTTTTCACATGTTTTCAGTTATTTTACCGTTGTTTTTGTTTATTTTTTCCCTAGTGTTAGATTTGATATCACCAGTACTGATTTGCGCTCATTGATAATTTTCTCATATCACTCGACTCTGATTTATGATTCATTTT